ATATATATATACATATAGCAGTTCACAACATACAGACATCGACAAAACCTTTCGCAATGCACAAATTGACTTGTTCATCTAAAATTTATTTCGTAATGGACAACTCTGTAAAGAGAGCAACTTTGTTTATGTTATGCTTTAATCAATATAGGAATTATAAACATCAATTTCTAAACGAAAAAAATATTTCACACAATATGTTAGAATATACAGGTATAGTTTGCCAGAATACGCTGCAAACTGTATACTTTTTTCTTTTAATACAATATGATTTTTTTCGAAATGAAATTCGTAATTGGAGAATAGGAATCATATTACTTCCTTGACAAGGTTTTAACGTCAATTTTCATTATTATTGTCTTGAGCAGCATTGAATAATAAAATATACAAGAAGATGAAACAGAGAGGAAAGTTAAAGACTGTACTATTCATTGTAGTTGAAAATAATACATCTGTGCCTATTTTGTGTGATCATTTGTCATTTAATATAAACTATAAATGAAAATATTATTTGTTGTAATGTCTGTCATCTTAAAACACTGTCAAACACTTGTGTGTAAACACGAACCAGCATCAGCCCTCGTAAACGTCTTTCACCTAATGCTCGACATCACCGAAATCAGATGTTTGTATGTTGTACTTCGGATTTGGCGATTGGTGAGGTCGATTAGCCAGAATTTTTGTAAATCTTATTAGTAGAGAACGAAACTATGAAACACGATTCGGGCAGAGAGGTAGTGCCTGCGCAATTAAATGCTAAGTTAAACATAATTATAACTACTTTCAATAAAAATGTGTAAATATTATGTAGCGTGCCAAACAAAACAAGAGTGTATTTATTAAACGTTAATGGTGTGTACTGAACGGTGCACCGTGTCATTTGACTATTTTGATAATTAAATAAGGTAAATTTTCTTACGTTTTTTTCATTTTCGTGTACCTTTATACTAAAAACATTTTTTTCTTTCGCAAAAGTGTCATTGGAATAAAGGGAAATTGTGATGGGGTAAGATAATGTTTTTGAAAACAAATATCTCTTAATAAAAATTGTTGTTCTATCTCCAGAATTCAATAAACAAATGGAATCAATTGCAAACTTCTCTCCTGAGACCACAATTCGGTGAGAACAGTTCTACTTTGACGTTCGCGGAGTTCAGAACCCGGAAAAGCGGGGTGACGAGACGAAGTGAGCGGAAGGGGGTGGGAGCATCCAAAATTAACTGGGGTGAAATCCTCAAGTGCGTTTGCGTGCCACGGCCGGTGGAAGAGTGACGGCGGGAGAAGGAACTTCCTCATTTTGAAACCAAAAGCGAAGACTTTGAAGCGGTCTTCTCAAAGCATTTCCTGATCGTGTTGCGAAAACCTCGATAGTTGCTCAATAACGTTCGCCATGGAAATGACACAATGGCGTTTTCTATCTCCATTTGTCTATTCTAGTACTTGATAGATTTAATGTGAAATTCTTGGAAGGTCAAATAAAACAAATGTTGTTACATTGGATTTCGTAAACTGAAATGAAAGAGTTTAATTTAATTAGGTTCTGGCAGACAAACTATACTTCTTGAATCCCAAAATTCAAATAAATGCATTTTTAAATATTTATATTTATATTTGTATGGAAGAAATCTCAAAAATTGTGTTGGCATTCATGAAGTTCCTTGTCTCAACAAATGAAAAAAAGGCACGTGGATCTCTTGTTTCAGGCACAGTAGAATAAACTCTCAAGTTCAGCAAGCATAGGCATTTTATTTTATAAGTACATTTGCTGATAACAACAGTGATGTTATATTATTTTTGTAAAGATTTATGTTGCGTGAGATATATTTTTTATGAGAGAAATAAATAAAAATGTATCAAATTTACTCGTGATCAGTGTAATGTAGTTATAGCTACATTTTGCTATAACTGCACATATTTTACTGTCTTTGCAGGATCTGTTGTAATAAAAAACTGGAAGCCACTCAACTTCGACAAAATAACGGACGGCGCGCAGGCAACAGTTGAAGACATCCTAGGTGAATTGACGACAGTGGCGACATTACGAATTGAGCTTTACCGGTAAGTATAGTATGTCTCACATTTGCTGAGTAAGGCTGTTCACCTCGAATTATTTCATGTTATTAGTTGAAAACTGTTCAAGTAAGTATTAGATTTGTGTCTGAGAATTGCAAAATGTTAAAATAAAATATAATAACTAAACTAAATTGAACACAATAGAAAAATCAATTTGTTCATTGACTGCAACAATGAAACACGAATTTTGAGTTATGATAGTTATTGTATTACATGTTATTATTATTATTATTATTATTAATAATAATAATACTAATAATAATAATAATTTATTTTGCTCGCGGAATAGCCGATTTGGACCACGCGTACATGCACTCTGCTTTTACCGGGGCTCAGTAACAGTGTCAGGTGCATGTAATTTATCATGGGATAGCATTAAGCTACATCCAATTTTTATCCCCTAGGGTTGTTAGTACTGGAGGTATGGAAGATGAAATTATGATGATAGTGATGGGTGAAAGGACGATACACATACAGACGTACACTAACAAACCCATGCCGGAGGCGAAACTCGAACCCGCGATCTTCTGATCCCCGACCGCTACGGCACTACTGCCCTAACAATCTCGGCCATCCGAACAGCTTATTATTGTTCTTTGTATCATCATCATTAACAAAACTTCTGTGAAGCTAAACGCTGAATTTCAATTTTTGAGATCAGAATAGCAGCCTATGAACAAAATGTGTGGACGCGTCATTAACACATTTAATAATCATAACACGTACGAAAATTCATATTCCTCGTGTCAGAAGATTTACGTGCCGTGCGGACAGTCACGTACCTTCCACGCACCTCCGCGAAACTCGCTGTCTCCTCCCGTTTGTGGGCGTGGAGGACATGCCAAGGGCGCCGCCGCCACTCTCTCTGCGTGCACTGCCTTCGGCAGCCCACCCCTCCCTGCCAGCGCCTTTCGCTTTGGCCACCTCCAACTGTTCGTCTTTGGCATCACCCATTGCCAGCCACTCTCATCACCATTGTAGCCAATAGACATTGTAGCCAATACACAAAAAGGAAATAAAAGTACCTTAATTTAAATCCACAACTTGTAAGAATGTCAATGTTTTAACATATTTTGAAGTGTTTAAATATTTTTCGGGAAGGTGTGTCCTAGAAATTCCTCAAAAGCTCATTGAACTTCACCAAACGTTTCGGAAGTGCATTATCGATGTTAACAGACGTTTGGATGTAAGTTGTGGTATGAAGAGAAAAGTGTTGAAGAGAAATCGCAATTATTGGCTTTTGTAAGAGAGGGGAGTAGCTTTCTCTTTATTCCTTGTAGTTTCATAAATATGCAACAAATGACAACGATAATTCACTCTAACTTTATGTCATGCAAACGTATTTAATGTAAACAGTGGTGTCATATTACATTTTCCTCCAAAACCTGAAATGTCAGATTTTATTACGCCCAATCGCCTCAATAATCCGCTGTATTGTATTGTATGCATCCATGTCTTTAAAACTATTATCTGATTCAAATTTTTAGTCGCTCTTTCCTTAGCGTTTTACACGTAAACGTTCAATCACAATTATAATTTTTAATTAGCTACTATCGTTTAACGTCAGAACGTTGTGGTTCCCAGTAATATCCCAGGTGACTACATTCATTTCTAGCTTAATATTCATAAACTTGTTTTCCATTAACGTCGCCGGTTATATCTTCTTCTTCCCTGCTGTCATCATATCCCAGCGGGTCGTACATCTGGGCTGTTGTCTTGCCCACGTCATCCCCTGACGTTCCAACGCTGACTCCACCAACTTCCTGACATTCTCACTATCTCGCCACCTCCTCCGTTTTGCGACCGGCGCGGCGCCCGCTGCCCCGTCATTTGTTCATCAATACTGGCTGCGCACCCGCCCCTGTCATTAGTAGCTTCAGGCAGCTGCTCTAGAACACCTGTTTGTAACTCAATGTATTGTAACAAACAATTCGTAAGAAAAATTCGTGATTCGTTTGTATGGCTTTGAGCCACTTATTATATCAGCCACTTATATCAGTATATGTGATTTGGCTTTGAGCGACAGACAAGTACTCTTGGTTCAATCACAAAATGTAAGAAAAATTATTCACTGATCACACTGATTTTTACCTAAAATATTTTATCGTTATATTCAACAACACATACACATTTAAGAATATTGTAGATAATTCAAACTAAAAGTTACACGTTTTTATTACCCTCAAAACATTAATTTTTTTCACAAGTAACTAAGCTAAAATAAATATTATTTCTTCAGTGTAAAACAGTAATTAACATTCTCGACGAAGTGTTTCTCGGACCTTTCACGTAAACTTGCATATTTTATTTGCTGAATATAATCTGAATCCTTTCGAGATACAAGCCTTAGGGCAAGGAATAACTAACCGTGTGCACGATATTCTAAACTATAAGTTTCAAAGGCGTTACATTGATTTAATCACTTCGTGAATCCAGCATGAATAAAAAGAGAAAAGAAATAACAATGAAAACCGATAAAACATTCTTTAAAACTTTTGTATGTAGGTTCGTTATCGATATCTTACTCCGCGCCATCCTACGTCCTAGAGACGCCATCCTAATTCACGCTCATCCATCCTCCCCCACTTCTCCCCTCCCCTCTAAGTCCACCCCCGCCCCCGTCCATCTGGTCGCGCGGCGCCGCTTCCACACTTCATTACTCGCAGCAACCGGTGCTCGCTAGGACGAGCGCGGTAGGGCGCTCTCGTGTCACGTGAAGGAGGCGCCGACAATCACGTTTCTCCACCAATCAACACGCTCTTGAAACGGATAATTAAGAGCCCGAGTAATAATTTGAGGCACGCGAAGGATGGTGGCACGGAGGTTAGTTGAACCCGCAGTGCATTGACTGCATCAAATGAAAAGAGAGACGGCCGATATAATAAGCAATAATTATAATAAATCTGAATGGATCTGGTAATGATGAATAACAATCATTCCGCGCGACGGGGTGCGCCAGCCTGCGCTCGCGGCGTGGCACGGGGCGGCGTTGGTGGGCGACCGCTGATTAACGGCCGGCGGCGCGGGCGCGGGCGCGGGCGCTGGGGGCCGGCTGCTTAAGAAGCGCGGGGATCCGCTCCGCTTCGGGACGGACTCCGAAGCAGTGCCTCCGTGCCCTGAGCGACCGCCGCCGCTGTTGTTCCTGCAGGTCATCAGGGGGGGGGGGGGAAGCTCTCCCGAAGGAGGAGCTGCGTGGAAGGTCATTTGTTGGAAATTTACATAATTAAAAAAAAATATTAGATTTATGATTGATGGTTTTGTTATATGATTTGCATGCCAAATGTGCAAATATTTGATAATCGTAATCTCCATTACGTTCAGTTTACCTTCAAATATATATGCACACATTACAAATATATTAAAAAATATGAAATGGGAGACGAAGCAAGGAACATATCTGATAAGTATTATTCCAAGTTGACACAAAAGGTGTACGTTGAGTGATGGGGCACTCTGTTAAGAATTCTCGTTTCATAATTGGGATTATTGCTACAGTTATAATCGGTTATTTTCTGTATCCGAGAAAGATTTGTGTACAACATGTGTGCGAGATAGGCTAATTTTATCTTCTAATGTGTTTACATAAATTTATAGAATAATCACTTTGAGTCACCAGCGAATTTTAAAATGTTTTTGTCTTAGTTATGTTTTGTTTTTATCAGCCGTGTTGACACAATAATCATGCTATTAACTATTTCCAAAAGGTAATATACAATATTACATAATAATCAATAAATATACTACCGATGATTCTCTGCATTGATCTAATAAAATACACATTTTAGAAAATGTAAAGTACGTTTGTTTAGTTAGAAAATGCACTTACATTTGTACCTTTAAAATATTATGTTATTCAGAAAAAAAAATTAAAAATTTTTCCTATTTTTTTTCAAATATCAGTTTCATCAGTTATTTATCATTTGAGATGAATATTGGTTTATCTTAACATTTACGAGATTGTGATGAATAAATATATTCTCCAAGTAAAAATTTAAGCTTCCGTTTTTCATCACTTATTAAAGGTTTCAAATTGTTTAAACACGATAAAAATGAGAGGTCCTTTTAAAGCTAAAAAAGAAGTGACTTTCGAAACGCTGATAAATTTCCAGGTGTTATATAACCTATGTAGTATAATGATAAACCCATGTAACAGAACACAGGTCTTTTCAATTTAGTTTATAATATCGGAATATGCTTCTATTGTACGGAGTTTGCAGAACAACGTATGAATAGAGAGCAGCGTTTGCCAAATTGCTGCGCGCAAGCGGGTGACCACGAGGAAAGCACCTCGTTGGCAGAGCGTCGAGACGAGCGACCGCTGACAGGCGCGTGTTGTTGTAGGGCGCGGCCCAGCGTGCTAAACGACATCAAAGACAAGCTGCTGCGCCTGCTGCTGCTGCAGTCGCACGGGCTGCTGCTCAGCGCCGGCTGCCCGCTCGACGAGGTAAGTGGCACGGGATGCGCTGCGACAAGGAGATATTCAAGAGTGTTATAATATTTGGAACTCCACAGGTTACAGGTTATTGTTCACAATTTTTTCGTTTTATTGTGCAATATCAAGTTTTAATTAGATGAAATGTCACATCGAAATATTCTCAAATTATACTGTAGGAATACCGTTAAAAATTGTATCAATTGTATATTCTTTACTTTATTTTTCGGTCGTATCTATGTGAGTTATGGCCACAAGTGGTACATGCTCAATGTATGGTACAAACAATGAATTGTTTTCGTACGTCGCAAGATGATAACCATTCCAAAAATGATATCTTCATGAAACATTTCATGGTGACTGACTGAGACCTCATAGTGGCTTTGACCATTGCTCTACATATTTGGTTGAAGTGTGGTCATCACGGTGTGTTTAGTTGACATTTGATTTGTTCGCGCTCATTCAGAAATTAGGTATTTCGTAAAAACTCTTCTGGTTCGGGTTAACGGACGAAACAAGCAGTGTTGGCAAGACGTATGATTCGGTCGTATCTGAAGAAGTCGTATATACTTCCAGCTCCCTGAAGCTTCTGTCAACACCTCTCCAAAGAGATTCTTCGCGTTGAAAGACACGACAACTCTTGCCCGGAGCTTTTAAAGCGGGTTTTTGCCACACCAGATAAAGTTCTCTCTATCGGCTTCGTTTCGGTTTTTGTCCGGCTGTAATAGAAATGTCACGACCATTTCCCTGCAACAAGTCGGTGACACGCCCGATGTAACATTTATTTCCTGCAAATAAACATCTGATCGGCCCACTATCGATGTAACCTTTCAAAATAAACCCCGGCGAAAAAGTGCCCGTTCGGCAGCTACCGTGCGATACCACGTCTTTTCGACGGCCGGCCACTACTCCCGTAATGGATAACTAACGTTCGTGAAATTATTAGCGAGGATATCGGCCGATCGCAGGGACGCGGAACGGGGGCGCTCAGCCGAAGGTAACGGGCGTGTAATAAACATGGAATACACTACTCGCGCACCGCATTATTTTTGCGCGGATCGGAGGGCGAGCAGTCGGTGGGAGGGGGAGGGCACAGGAGGGTGGGCGTTACAAGCGACGAATGTCCTCGTGTGTAATAAAACAGTAGCGCGGCTTTTCGCAGCTGGGCGGAGAGCGCCGCGGCCGGAAGGGTTGCGTTGGCGATTCGTGGGAGGGGTTGGCGCGGGGGGGGGGGGGCTCCGCTGCGGTGGCTTTACGCGCCAATCCGACCTGCGCCGACGCCTGCCGCCGGCAGAGCTGCCGCCGGGGCCTTCCCACCCTCTGCTGCCGACGCCGCGCCGGCGAAATCACACGCCTTGCTTGAGCGCACCTTTGGACGCCACAAAGACCGGCTGATGTTTTTCGCTCTCTGCGTGCCTCTCGCGTTCCGTAAACTACTTCAGCAATTGACGCTCATCCTCTTTTTCATTCATTTTCTGCTAGTACTTACCTTCGCAACCCGATCAACAGATCTTTTGCCGTAAACAATCTTCAGCTTTTCTTACATTGCCAATGGTGAGTTATTTCCCAATGCATTGCCGCTCCTAATGAAAGTCTCACAATTTTCAACAATATCCTTTAATACTATTGTTTTAGTATTTCAAGGCTTTCTGACTTGAAGTATTTTCCGTTCACTCCTCTTGTCATTGCCCGCCGCCACATTAACCCACTTCAGAATTATTAATTCAGATAATATCATGTGTGAGTACACAAATGTGAATGCCCAACATATCCCACCCCCGACAGTAGTTACTCGCCGTTCACGCTCACCTTTGCCCTTCGCCATCAACCGCACACTCCCTCGCGAAGCCCCGCAACCCCTACATCCCGCGTCGCTGCCGCCACCAGACCACCTCCGCGCATCGCGAAGATTTACCCAGGGGCCATTGATGAGCCTCGGTGGCGGCGGCGTCGCGGGAGGAGGGCGTGGCGGGCGGGGCGAGCGCGCTGCAGGCCGAGCCCGCAAGCCGAGGCGGCTCGCAGCGACAGCTCCGCGCGCGCCGCCTTCCCGCTTCGCCCTAAGAGTATTTCGTGTTTTGTGTGCGGCACGCGCAGCCCCTCGAGCTATAATCTCGGCGCGAAAACGCGACGCCGCGCCGGGGACGAGAGAGGAAGCAGAGTGGGAAATAATCGTACGCGCACTCTCGGAGAGCTCAATGTGAACTGCTGACACGGAAGTTACTAGCGATTGAGTGAAAATTGTCCGGTTTTTGTACCTCTGCGCATGAAAGTGGGAAGAGACGACAAAACAATTTTGAGTGTCATCTGCCGATGTCTACAGTTTTGGGGCAAATAAAGTAATTATTAAAATATGTACGAAGCTTCAATATTTGTGTTTATAGACTCCTGTAGTTCATTTCCTGAAAATATAGCTCTTAATTCATATGTATGCAAAAGATAATTGATTAATCATTTCCTATCGTTAGAATAACAATTTCAAAAATGCCATTTTGGTGAGATTTCTCAAGGGCCTTCACAAATCCTAATATAACTTATTTCCTCACATAAACGTACTAAAGTATTTTCCTACTCTTTTTATCCAGTCTTGTCTCCAATCATGAAATTTAGGAAGCTATTAGTAAAGCTCGAGAGGGAGTATCCTTGCACAAAATATACTAATGTTAAAAAATCTTATCAAGCGTTAAGTCACTGTAAAAGAAAATTGTGTTATAAAAAAGTACTTCAAAGATTCCCGATCTGACTGATTTTTACACAGAAATCACATAGTTCCTAATCTCCGTATACTCGTACAACACAGCTTCCGCTGCTGAGGGCATCCCGCTAACTCCGACCAGCAATCGGACGTCGTCGCCAAAGGCTGCGTGCGCGGGGAATAAACGCTCCTTAGCGACGTATTTACGGATTTCGCCCGGGCTCTCGGGAGCTTACGACTTTGCCGGAGGCCGGCCGCGGAGCGAGCGGCGCGGAGGGGAATCCCCACCGGACAGCGACGACGTAAATCCACGCGCGGATTCTTGGGACGCGCCTCCGCTTGGCGCGGCTCCCGAGCGCGTGTGGGGCTGCCAGTCCGGGGGCGGACAGGGTGCGGATAGAGCGGAGATTAGGATAAGAAACAAAGAGGACGAGGGAGGTGAGGACAGAACAGTGATTGTTTGGGGAGACCAAGTTGGTGAAGGTCGACTCTAATAGCCAAGTGAAATGGAGTCAGAAGAAAGGTGTATTGTGTTTCACGTATGAAGCGCAATTGGAAGGAGAATAAAGGGAGGGAGAAGGTAGTTAAAATACCTCACAAATCTTCCGGGACAAAAATCAGGGATCGGAAGTTTAGTCCAACATTAAATGTCTTAACTGATAGTCATCTGGAACTTTTGGTACCATTTCCTTTTCATTTTGACTCGTCTATCGACGTACAAATTTACGAAAACTCTTAATGTTTTAACTCGAAAACTCTTAATGTTAACACTTAATGTTGTAAGAATTTTCCCTTCCACTTTCCTTTTATAGGCAAGAGAAACTTGTCAATAGAAGCCACACCAGCTGCAATATGGTTCACGATATTTATAAATGGTAACATCTCTTTTTTGTTCAAAGTGTGTCTCATCTTGTTACCGACGCGAGATGTTCATTTTATTTATTCTCAAAGTTATATTTATTTCTTCCTGGGACTTTCTACACCATGGAGACGGCCTTTTTGTCATCATACTCGCAAGGCCCTCGGCAACAACACACACATTTGAAAGACAAGGAACAAACAACCATGCGGGACTCGGACTGAGGCGCTGAGCCCTTATGGAAGTTATATGAATTTCGTAATTATTTTATTGCTCGTAATTTGATTCTCATTACTCAACAATGCTACCTCTTTGCTCAAGATGGCCTCCTCCATTCACAGAGAAAACAAATCTCAAATAATAAGCCCGGAGGCGAGCAGGTGGAGGCGTGGCCCCACTCGGAGGAAGCGGGTCAGCGCGCCAAGGAGCCTCTTCCGGCGGAGGCTAGGGGGCCGAGTCAGCACGGCTTGCGCGCCAAAGCCGCTGAACCCTAAGACCGATTACGGGTCTCGGCGCGCTAATTCACCTCCGACTCGGCAGGTTTCCGGTGGATCAGCGCCCCGCGCGGCCGGGCCTGAAATTTCAGCCGCCGCCACCATCCGCGCACGAGCTCTTCCCAGTTTTGTGAGCAGTAGGGGTTAGTTTCCGCCGGAAATCCGAGATCTTTTGCGATCCTCAACGACGAGTGCTGAGTTGGGCGTGGATAGTGTTTCGAACACATGAACTGAACTCTGTCAAAATTTCTTGTGATGCAATTCTGTTAAACTGTTTTGTTGTGTGGTTAAATTCATAAAGTCTTCGTTAACCGAAATATTAAAATTATAAGTTTTAACAGTACTTCATGATTTTAAGAACTAAGTAAGTGATGTACAAAGTTCATTATCATCAGTTATCTTCATTTCTCTGGCCATAGATCACAGACGTTGCCATAATCGTGACTGGAAAAAAATAGTGACGGGAATATGAATCAAGAGAATAGCAGTAATTTTTACAACTATGATGTATCATTTCGAAGGAAATAGTTCAAACGTTTGTTATAACCGACGTTTAAAATTGTAAAAAATTGTTTTATTTGGGCACAAATAAACGTTTATAGTTAAATAACACTTCATAATTCATTTGAGGTAATCAATATCGAGTTCCTTTTTATACCTAGAACCGAGATAATGCATGCTACGACCCTCATTGCTTGTGTACGTTCTTCCTGTTAACTTGTAATCCCACGTACAGGTAGTAGAACCTGTCGTGTAATGTTTGAGAAGATGGAGGCACATCGCAAAGGAACACGTCAATCTTTAACGAACCACCTTATGGTACTCGTACTCGTAATGTTTCACCTCTCTGTAGTGTCGGTTGAACAAAAAAATTCATCACTCTAACGAGTTTCAAGTTTATAGTCCTACGTCACGCCTCAGTGGCGTTTTCTAATTAAGCTAGAGAGGAAAGTTAACACGGAGGCAC